TATTAATTAAATTTAATGAAAGGGAATAATCTCTCAACGAAATGATAAGAATTTATTGAGATTAGTGGATTTTTCGGTGGCGTGTTTAATGATTTTGTGCGGTTTCGTACATTTTGCTAATTTATTTTGTTAATTTAGTGTTTCTACGGGCTTAAATAAGTAATACTGTCGGCTTATTTACCGCTTCGGATCCGTGAGAGTGCACAAGTGAGGGAAAATGAATCAAAGTTGGACGTGGCTTTTCGGGTAAAATGTTTTACTGAGCTTTTGTTTCATTCCACCTCATCTCGTTTAATTTAATTTCATCCCAGTTGATTACAGTCTCAAATAGATTTTTCATTTACTAGAATGTAATAAAATATATTCGAATATCTCGACACTGGCAACAATGGCATCGCTAGAAGCCGATTACCATACCTAAAAACAAAAAAAAAAGCACATTAGTAGTATTTTTTAATATTATTTGCTTACTTTTTGAACTTTTGTACAAAACTACATATCCAGAAAATACATATATGAATATTCTCTGTAAAGACTGTAAATCTGCCGCGGAGTGAAATGTAAATTGTTAACGTATTTTTAAAACCAGCACTAGGTGACGCTGAGTACAAACGTATCACGAGTTTTATTTATTCCTAGGTACCTATTCAAAACATTCGAAATAATAATGCGTTGAATGTAAAACAGATGGCGTTGTTTTCAAATAAAAATCCACACTTTATTAAGCACTGTGTATAATGTTAAATTCTAATTGAAGAAGTATATTAATATTATTATTAATAGTATTTATTTATCTCCTAATTTTAACTTTACTAGCTTTTACGCGCGGCTTCACACAAGTTAGTGTAGAAACATCAATCTCAATAGTACTTTTTTAGGGGGCTGACAAATAAAAGTGTACTTATTCGATTTGTATGCCCTTTCTTTTCTTTTTGTCTGTATTTTATGCCTTTTTTATGCCCTTGGCGACGCCTAAGTAAAATTACGTGATTGGTTGAGAAGTTAAAACATTAATTCGCAACAAACAAAGTCACGTTCGCATTTATGTAATTATATGATAGATAATCGGTGCCATTATTATATTGTATGTATGTGTATGTATTGTATTGAAGCCGCGCCGCCCTGCCTCATGAAAAATATGGAACAAAGATTGAGGCAGATGTCAATTAGCGACAGTGACGACTTACCATTATGTAGAGGGTATGATCGTCTGCCTTCTAAGGCAATAAAAATTTATATTAGAACCACAGATCATTGTCTATGATCTGTTATTAGAACTATTATTATTCCTGCAAACGAGGACAGCTTTTAATGCAAAGAGAATAAAGCACATTTCGTATTGTATGAAGGCTTAGGTCATTGCTCCATTTGAAGCAAGCAATAACAAACAAACAATATTTAACAAAAAATGGAAAGTGTAATAAAAAGTTCTTGAATTCAATTAAATATGTATTATTAAGGGTAACTCAGAAACCACTGGTAAGATCTTGGTAAAGATTCATAGGGGTCCATCCACATAGGAGCCAACACCTTTAAAATTTAAATCAAAATCGCTTCACCGACAAAAAGTTCTGAGGTTCCGCCTATTTCCGCCGTGAAGCACTAATGCGTTTCGGTTTGAAGGGTTTAGGGCAGCCGTTGTAACTATACTGAGACCTTAGAACTTATATCTCAAGGTGGGTAGTGCATTTACGTTGTAGATGTCTATGGGCTCCAATAACCACTTAACACCAGGTGGGCTATGAGCTCGTCCTAAAGCAATAAAAAAAAGGTTAAGACTGTACCTCCATAATCCATCCAAAACCTCCTCATTTTTTTTCTGAAGTCGGCTAAAAATGAATTAAACACGCAATGGATTCTCGAGATATTATGATCTTATTATTTGTCTTCTACAGGTCGTTGTGGCGAGGCTCGGGAAAGTCTGCCTCCAGTAGCGGACGTCTGTGGGTAAAAGATATACAAGAGCTTATTAAAAGCCCGCACATATCCATGTTTATCGCAGCTTCCACTTCTGGGATGTCGGCACACTGTGTCAGGGTAATTTCTGGATATATTAAGGTTGATGAACTCAGTTATTTGATTTGTTTTCGTGAAATGAATTAATTTGTTATATCCTTCATATAGAGATCTAATGTAATCAAATGAGAATTATATTATGTTCAATCAATTCAAGTTCGACTAAAAAGCCACCTACGACTAAAAAGTCGACCAGATGTTTTTGCTTAACACTTTGACTGAATTGTAGTTAAAAGGCTAAGTTTAGAGATAAAGTCATGATACTCAAGAAACTTTATCTATATATTAATACGTGAAGCAAAAACTTTGTATCCCTTTTTACGAAAATTGCGGGGACGGAGGAGTATGAAATTTTCCACACTTATAGAGAGTATAGAGAAGAAGTGCCCAATGCAAATATTTTTTTAAAATAATGCATAAAAGATACATTAAATCAATAAATAAAACATTACACACACTACATACCATGTATTTGACGCACACACGCATGCATACTAAGTATTTATTGTCAAACTTTTGTTCTTCACGTCTGTGGTCAAATTGAGAATAGATTAAATATTGTTTGTCTTTGTTAATATTTTTTTTATAGAGTAGTCTTGGCGATATTTGTGATTATAGAAGTATAATAGTCTTTGAAAATAGAATCATAATAGTGTACTTACAATTTCAATTAATTATAGTCGAATTTCGACTACTGCGGGACATCTAGTTTAAGTAATAACAAACTTTTTTTCTTTTTTTTTTTGTCAGGAGGAAATCGCCGGACTTCCGCCCTCCCCTGGGAATGGAAGGCGGGGCATGTCGGAGTCGAACTGACTAAAACCTCCTGTCGCTCAACAACCCGCGTCCGAACCTCGCATGAGACAGAACCCATGAAAAGGCAAAGGGGGGAAAGTGAAGCGTTTAGTGCGGAGCACATCTCTCCCATCACCCTTCCCCTCGGGACGCCGGACCAGCGGTCGTCGGCGCCACGACCACCAGCCCTCTCGGTCGGCAGGCTATCCGGAGCCCGCCTAGATGGCGCCGGTTAGAATGGGTTATCCTACGGAATACCCCGCTGGGTCAGAACCAGCGTGGGTCGAGGATAGCCGACCTTCCATCACCCGGATGCTCTTGCGTAAAACGCGTGCAGAGCAGCTTGCACGTCGTCTTCTTAGGCCCCCTTCGCCGGTCCCCAGACCGACATATGAAGGGGACCCGAAACACTTAGAGGGCCAGGTCTTGGGCGAGATCCGCCTCCCTGGCCCCCGCTCGACGGCGGCGGGCTGCGAGATGGTGCACTCGCAAAAGTCGAGCATCGCCTTCCACGACTCGTCGTCGCCGAGCATCGATGCCACAACACTCGGCAACGACAAGTCGTTTCCTATTTTTGCGACGAGAACACGCCGCCACCCCTCCCATGCGGGGCAGGCGACGAGCGTGTGCTCCGCCGTGTCCAAGTCGCAACCACAATGGTGGCACTCTGCCGTTGGCTCGGCTCCGATCCGGTGCAGGAACTCACCGAAGCAACCATGCCCAGTGAGCACCTGCGTGAGCCGGAACGTGAGGCGTCCTCTGTCACGATTCACCCAATTCACAAGAACCGGGCGAATCGCCTCGACGGTCCTACGACCAGCCGAAGGATCGGCCAGCCGTCTGGACCATGACTCCAGCAAGTAATAACACACTATCAGATATCTCCAAACGCTTGAAGGAGGCTACACGTGATGCTAAGGCCGGCTGGTACTTTGCACAGAGAGTGGGTCTGGCTGTCCAACGTGGTAACGTAGCCAGTATCTTGGGAACTGTGCCTCATGCAAGCGCATTGGAAGGTTTGTTCTACTGTGTGAATTGATTTATGTTAAATTATTTTGATTTGTTATTTATTAATAACTAGCGACCCGCTCTCGCTTCGCTTCGGAAACTGTAATTTATTATTGATTTCTCCACTATTTAATGGATGTTATTATACATATAAACCTTCCTCTTCAATCACTCTATCTATTAAAAAAAAAGCATCAAAATCCGTTGCGTAGTTTTAATGATTTAAGCATACATAGGGACAGACAGATATAGGGACAGAGAAAGCGACTTTCTTTTATACTATGTAGTGAAGAGTGTCCCGATGTATTAAAAAAAAACCTTAAGCAGGGAAGCTATCTTATGTCACATGAGAGTTAGTAATAAAAATTGCGTTCGGAAATTTCAGAACGTGATTTGAAAGAATTTAAATTTGCCCATCCCGAAACCGACCGCACGCATCGTAGCTTGACCTCGTAAGCGCTATTAGCTTCTTATAATCTCAATAACAATGAGTAGGGCGAAACTAATTAATCTTCAGTTCACGAACTTTGAAAGGTCGTTCTTCAGTAGTGACACCATACTTTATAAGAAACTGTGGAATTTCAGTGTCGAAATATTTTTTGATGATATTTCATGCGATTTTTACGATAAGCAAGTGGTTTGACACTGAACGTAGCCCTAAATTGGACGACAGTAGAAACAAATTCAGAGATAAGTAAACTTTTATTGAGTTTTGTTCGTTTTACACAGCTGACGTGGTTGAGTTTTTGTTCAATCACAAGATTCATCGGGAATTCTGTACAACTTATATCTTTTTCAGATTAATTCGATATAAGTTTTTGAATATTTAAAAAAAAAACGACCTTGTGGTATGACCTCTTGTGAGTCCGCGCGGGTAAGTACCACCACCCTGCCTATTTCTGCCGTGAAGCAGTAATGCGTTTCGGTTTGAAGGGTGGAGCAGCCGTTGTAACTATACTTGAGACCTTAGAACTTATATCTCAAGGTGGGTGGCGCATTTACGTTGTAGATGTCTATGGGCTCCAGTAACTACTTAACACCAGGTGGGCTGTAAGCTCGTCCACCCGTCTAAGCAATAAAAAAAAGAATACTTTCTTTCGTCCCAATTAATGGACACACTAGTGAGTCTAGCGATACCGAAGCTGACGGTCACCGTCTGAACACTAACGGTCACAACAGAATCGAAAAGAGGACGTGCGCGCTCACCGCTGTCATTAATAAAAAAAAAAAACGTCTCATCGATTAACTCATCTTGTTTAAGTCGGCTAAAATGGTTAACGTGAAAATATCGATATTAGTGCTTTTTGTTACATTGGTAAGTTTTGTTTTTATTTATTACTGCTGATGTCCAGGGTCCTCAGTTGTGTTTATTGGCCTTACAGCAAGCGGTCACCGTGAGCTGAGATTATGATTACTGTTATGGTGAATAAATATATCGGTCAATGGTAAAATTCACGAATTATTTCCATTATGAAGGTTTAATATCGTGTAATGAAAATCATGCCCGCAAATGTTTTAATCTATACTAATATATAAATCTACAGTGGTTTTTACGGATGTTCCGTTATAACTACTGAACCATGCATCCGATTGATTTTAAACTTGGTATCCATGTAGAAAATACATGTACTTAATGGGTAGGCTAATATTTATGTGAGTGTTGGACTCCCTAATAATAATGACAATAAATAATAATGTTAATTGTAAATGCGCAGCGAAACGGGTGAGTACGGATAGTCTGTACCAATATTGTGAATATGTTTATTGCTAAATCCCTCCAAAAAGGACTAAACGGATTTGGATGATACTTTGCACAAACATTATTGACTTTGTAGCCTGGGTGGTGGAAGACACACAAGACTTTATATCATGTAAACATTTAGTATGGCAAAGGAAAAACAATGCGGAGATGTGTCTGATATAGTAAATACGGCACTGCGTTTTTCTTGTTGGTAATGTAATTGCAAATCGACTGTTCTGTGGTCCATGGACCAGAGACTGACGCAAGCGCTTCTTTTTCTCGTGAAGATACGACCAATATTTCTGAATTACAAATTTTACGCGAGTGAAACCATTGGACATGACCGTCTACTTTAGGATTTTCTTAGGTACAGTTGGATAAACAAACTGACAGCCCACTTGTTGTTAATCGGTTACTGAGTTTTTTTTTTTGGTTTTTCGTTGCCCGTGTAGGCAGTCGAGCATACGCCCCACCTGATGGTGAGTGGTCACTGTCGCCCATGGGCTTCAGCAATGTCAGGGCAGAGCCAAGCCGCTGCCTACCGCTAAGTACTCTCCACAAGCCTCGTTTGAAGAAAGATATATCATAGCGCTCGGGAAACACCGTGCAGGGGAGGTCATTCCAAAGCCGGATAGTACTTGGCAAAAAAGATCTTTGGAAGCGCACTGTGGATGACTGCAGTGGCTCCAGGTAGTACAGTGTTAATCTAGTTGTCAATCTTACATGTATCTATGGCCTCATTCGTAAAGCAGTTGCTCTTGAGTTGTTAAGTATCCTTTGGAGGCGCTCGGGAAGCTGTCAGCAAATCCCACCCCTCCTGGCTGAGCCTTTGCTCGACCATCTGTCTTGGTTAAGCTAGAAAGGCCTCTGGGTCACCAGTAATCTCTCAATCGTAAAAAAAGTATCTATGGCTATTCCAACCATGAAACCGGGAGGTACATATGTGTACTTCTCGATTGGCAGTTTCATGGAATGCCATACCACCAATTAATGCGGGCTGGCGATCGAGGTATGCCGGTATAGGACTCTGAGAACACAGCCCGGATTTTCTATCGTCTTTTACGACCGTCTGGTGTAGTGTGACATGGTCACTACACAAGGGGGTCGCGGGTTCGAATCCCGCCAAGGGAAGATATTTGTATGATAAATATAAATGTCTTTCCAGGGTTATGGGTGTATATTAAATATATGTATGTGTATAATAAAAATATTATATTTATTTCCGTTATCTGGTACCTGTAACACAAGTTCTTTACGAACTTAGCACGGGACCAGTTAACGTGGNTGACTTTGTATTCCATTGGCAGTCACAAAACTCTTCGGAACGACATCTTAGATAAATAACAGGTTAACTATTAACCTTTATTTAGTGCAGGTTTTGAACCGTATTCTTTGAAGGAGACGATTATATTCAAATCAATCTGTATTGACATATCAATAATTTTTTTTTGTCCAAATGCACAGATTGCCACCTTTGATAATAGACGACTCAGGTGTCAATCTTACATGTATTTATGGCTTTATTCCTGAAGCAGCTGCTCTTGAGTTGTTAGGTCTCCTTTGGAGGCGCTCGGGAAACTGTCAGCAAATCCCACCCCTCCTGGCTGAGCCTTTGCTCGACCATCTGTCCTGGTTAAGCTAGAAAGGCCTCTGGGCCACCAGTAATCTCTCAACCATAAAAAAAGTATCTATGGCTATTCCACCCTTGAAACTGGTAGGCACATAATAATATGTGTGCTTCTCGATTGGCAGTTTCATGGAATGCTATACCATCAATTAATGCGGGCTGGCGATCGAGGTATTCCGGTATAGGACTCTGAGAACACAGCCCGGATTTTCTATCGTCTTTTACAACATTCATAGGACCTATGACCTTCGCCAATTCGAAGTCCTTATAGCTGAAGGTGAGCCCTGCTCGTGTCAGAGTTACGACATGGCTGATAATGGTGCATTTAGTATGCTTCGGATGTCGCCAATACTGAGTGATGATTTTCCTGGTGACATGCTTTTTGGTTGTGTTATGAGTGGCCGAGGTCACGGCTGATATAGTGGCAGAAATAGGCAGGATAGTGTTACATACCCGTGTGGGCCTACAATACACCGTACCACCAGTAAATGCTGATATATTACCTAGAGAAGAAGAACGTGTAGTACATTTTGTCTTCTGTTTGTACAGTTTCTCTCTGAAAGGGTTTCTTTATTGATAACACTAATTGCTAGTCAAAAACTGCTAATAAAACAGTAAACTCAGTGACGAACAGACTGTTCCGTCTCCGCTTATTTATATATATTTGCCGCGTCCAAACTTAACAAAATACTAGGTATCAATAAGACGATAAATTCATTTATACTTGTGTCGGGATTTTTCTATTCGCACAACTCTAAAGCATCGTGAGCCCAGGTCATTCTGAGCTTTGACGTAATGAATTAGTGTATGTTGTTGCATCGTTTGTATCCTAGTCAACTTCACACGAGTAGCAGGAAGTTAAGGTTGAGATTAAAAGAAAAATTTGTAGCCAAATATTTTAAAGGAAGGGAATCTAAATGGCTTTATTCTCGAGCTGAAAGTAAACTTAATGTTGGGCGGAAGCAAGAGACTATAAACACTGCTGTAAGCTCAACCATTATGGTCTATAATAATAATAATAATATATACTTGTGTATACAATATGAAAAAGGCAGCAAAATTCAATTCAAGCATTGGAACAGCTATTAAAGTGACAGATAATTTAACAAAAACCCGTCATTTTGTATAATATGTACATTTGAACTTTTTTATATACCTATACATTACTATATTAATATACTAGCGACCCGCCCTCGCTTCGCTTCGGAAACTGTAATTTATTATTGATTTCTCTACTATTTAATGGATGCTATTATACAAATAAACCTTTCTCTTCAATCACTCTATCTATTAAAAAAAACCGCATCAAAATCCGTTGCGTAGTTTTAAAGATTTAAGCATACAAGCAGACAGAGAAAGCGACTTTGTTTTATACTATGTAGTGATAGTATCATTGTGATAATTTAAGTAAAAATTCTCAACTATTTATTATATATACTATATATTTACTATATATTACGAGGTACTGCTGACGCTGGACTTTAGCGAGTGATTACTTATAATTGCGTGGTTGTGTTTGATCAAAGTCGTTTGACGTAAGCCTCCACATTCTCTAAAGGACTGAAAGCTCATTAACGGCGTGGACTTTCTGCACGCCTTTCTCCACCCCAATTACACATACAGTACAGACCAGAGCAGGCTTGGAACGATTCGGCTTTGGCGAACTCCCCTCCACGGTGTTTCCCGAGCGCTATGACATGTCCTTCTTCAAACGAGGCTTGTGAAGAGTAATTAATAGTAGGCAGCGGCTTGGTTCTGCCCCTGGCATTGCTGACGTCCATGAGCGACGGTGACCACTTACCATTAGGTGGGCCGTATGTTCGTCTGTCTGCCTACAAAGGCAATAAAGGAAAATAAAAAAATAAATCCCATCCTGGCGCCGAACTTAACGCAGAAAAGAGAAGATCTAAAAGCAATTAAAACAATCTACATTTACCAATCTATATGAGGTATCGGGTCGCGACATCAGGACGCGTGAATTTTGCTAATTTTTTTTTTGTAAGCGTGAAAGTTACTTAAGAACAGACGCGTACTTGGAAATTCAAAATGGGGGCCTTAATCGGATATAATACAAGAGCCTGGGAACCCCAGACCTTCGTTATTTTATAAAAGCTGAAAGTTTGTCAGCTCATACGCCCAACACAGATGAGAACGGTGGACTATTGTGAAGTTTGGGTTACATTGCTAATGGTGTATAAATACCGATCTAAACTCATTAAATAATAAAGTGAGATTTTTTGGTATTACCAAAATTATTATAATTTTACTTACGTAATAGTAAAGAAGCTGATTTTTATATATAATACTTGGGTAGTAAGTGGATGATGTTTCCTTATTAGCTAAAGATTTTTGATAGTTCCAACCCCTTATCATTCACCTTGAGATATGAGTTCTAAGGTCTCAGTATAGTTACAAAGGTTGCCCACCCTTCAAACCGAAACGCATTACTGCTTCACGGCTGAAATAGGTAGGGTGGTGGGACCTACCCGTGTGGACTCATAAGAGTACCACCAGTAATAACGCAAATTAAAATTTTGCGGGTTTGATTTTTATTACAAGATGTTATTCCTTCACCGTGGAAGTCAATTGTGAACATTTGTTAAGTACGTATTTCATTAGAAAAATTGGTGCCTCCCTGTGAGATTCGAATACCGGTGCATCGCTCAACACGAATGCACCGGACGTCTTATCCTTTAGGCCACGACGACTTAGGGTTATCCATTCTTGAAGGGTTGACCAATTACCCCGATGTTTGTTTTCAAGTAAACACTTTATGCTAGGCGAGCCGCGCCCATGTTAGGCAATCGTCGATAATATGATAACTAAATCCTTCCATGTAAAGGTTAACCAGACTTCATTAACATTAAAATTATTCTCTACCCAGCGAAACCTGTTGTGGTTCAATGAACTTTGGTCGATATTTTTTTAAACAATTTGCATTCCGAAG